TTACCGCAGAAGTACACCGGGATTACATCCGGTGTACACGCGCATTCGAAAGTTACACCAGATGTACAATGATGGTACACACGGATTACAATGGCGAATCCGCGGAATGTATACCGGGATTACATCCTTTGTCGACAGCGGAGGTTACATCGGGATTACATGGAGCTTACAGGCGCAGTACATGATGCGGATAACGGAGTTGATATCGGGATTACATGGGGCTTACGCGCGCGGTACATGAGATGGACAGCGGAATTTACATCAGGATTACATGAAGTTTACAATGACGGATGGGGACGCGTCACGATATAGCCCTGACGCAATCACAGGCAGCCCACCCAAAATTTTTCCCCCCGCTACGGGTGTCACACAAAAACATCGCCTTCGTGAACAAAAGCTTCGCCATACAGTCACCATTAGAGCTAGCTGGGAAAGAAACGACGGGTTCGCGGCTTACAGAGACCTCCGAAACTATCTTTCTCATCCTTCCTCTCCGCACCTACCAGAACCTTTGAGGAAGGTAAGCCTGTTCGCGCCATTCTTCCTTTTGGCTCGTCCGGATTTACTGAATCCGCCGATTCACATGATTTAGTAAATCTCAGATTTATCGCGAGTCGGCGTTATTTTGGGATTTTCGGGACCTTAGGATTTACGGAGGCATTTTTTGCCTTTTGACAGGATTTAGCTTAAATCCTGCTTAAAACCGGCTACCAAACAACCCCATAGCATCGACTCACTCTCTTATCTGCATTATTTTGAACAATGGAGCTCCCATTTTAGATTTAAGATATTGTGCAGAACTTGAGATCATTATCGAACTTACGTAGAGCATGAGACTCCCGGCTGTGTTGGATTTGGGGAGATTGATGTACAAAACATTGCCTTTGTGTCTTAGAGAGCTTGTCTCTCGAGTAGAGCACATGTGGTCTACATGGCAATGGAAGCACTCTGAATTTTGCTTGCAAACATCATATCTAGTCGAAAAGTGTACTTTTTTTAACTTTGTTTTTCGTAGTTGTGCCTCTGAAGTGCAATTTGAACGAAGAAAACCAACTTGTATTTATATGATTGTTTTGTTTGCAACTATATCATATATGCTTATTTATTTTTTATATCCTTATCTTTCTATGCTTTGCATGGTAGTTTAAAAAATGATGATGCTGTTGAAGGAATGATTGTTTCACACGCTCTAAAATTTAAGAATGTTTTGCCAATCATGCTGTTATTGAGAGATCAGTCATTTTCTACTCTAGGTTTAATAAAATTGCTTTGGATAACCCCATACGGTTATATTGTCTTCATTTTTCATTTCTAATTATACGAGGTCAACCAATTTAACAAGCCTGTCTTCCCTCTCTTATTGTTTTTAACTAAATATCTCCTTTTCATGGAGGTTCAAGCAAAGAACAAGATGGGACTTTTTGCAATGCATTGTAAAAGGAAGAAGTGGAAAATAGGGGGAAGCAAAATAAAATATTCAATATCCCCTATTTATTTTTAATTTTATATTTTTACTCTACTATGAGCAATCATTAATTGTGGTGAGAAAGGCCTTCAATTGTCTCTCCCAATTGAATGGGCCTAGTTTACCATCATTCATCAGGGAGGAATTTTGCTAACCATGGAGAGATCCGGGGATATAGATGTGGATTGGTGTTGCACTCCTAACATAAGAGGTTCTTGATGTCTGAGATAATCTCCTTCAAATTATCTTCATATTATTGTGATTATCACGATGGTAAAAGGACCATTATGTGTGGGCCCATCCACCCAAGTTGGAGGGCTGCACTAATTCCTTATTGAGGGCTTGGTTTAGCACCCAGGGTATTGAATGAAGAAGTTCCTCTTTCCACATGGTGGCAACATCCGCTTGACTAATATTTGGTCAGACCTATTGTTGATGAGGAGTTAAGATTATCCTTCCAAATTTTTTGTGTAAGAGATGGTTATCTCCTTGTTTGAAATATCGTATCTTTGATGTTTTAGTATTCATACCCTTTGGGAGGGGAACACTATGATTTCCCATTCCCTTCTCCAACAACCAATAAAGAAGAAAAAAAGGAAAATACATGGTAATGCGGTAGGGGTGTTGTGACCAAAAGTTGCTGGCATGAGGATAATATGTTGCTTGTGGTGTAATGATGTTGTATCCATATTGCAAGGGCGTTGCATGCTGCAGGATTGTGGTATATAATTCTGCTCAAGTTTAGTAGCTTTGTATATTGTTATAGTTATGGCGCTAACTTACAGGATGATGCCTATTATCCTTTATTCATTGAAAGTTTCTAAATCTCTTTATTGTGTTCTTGTAAGAGGAAAGCATGAGCATTAATTGAATGCTGCAATTATCTTGTTTCACCAACTCATCTTAAGGATTTAACATTATTTGAATCCCTAACATCAAATGTTGTGTTGCCTACCATCATTTGAATCCCTAACTATTTTTTCCATTGCTATGGGGCTTGTAGTTTTGCTATAATCATTCCATAGTATAAACAAGATTCTTGTACAATAAAGATACCCCTATAGTTGCATTTACTTTACAGGCGTTTTTTGATAAAACAGCATTAAAATTTGATTAAGTATAAAATAGAAGTAATAGTTTTCCAATGAGCAAATAACACAAAATTTAACTTATAATTTTCATTTCTCATCCATTTCATATAAAACAAAATGATTGCTAAAATTCTTAGATCAATTATTGCTACATGGAAGCAATAACGAGTCATGTAGTTTGTTGATTAATATATCATATAAACAACATTGTTTTTATGTTCCCTTGTTGACAAATATGAAATTTTGATTGTTTTTTTTTTCTTTTTTTTTTCAAACCATTCATAGTCACTTAATACTAAGAATTCAAATCTTAAAATTTCTGTTGTGAATGATAGTATCATTCCCTTCAAATGCACTACTAATTACAACCCATATCTAATATCTTATCACCATTGATTAACCACAACATTTTATTAATGGGTTCAAAATCTTCAAATCCTTGGTCACACGCACACCATACCAAAATATAGTCCTAAAAATAAACCACTTAAATTTATTTTCCTTATAAACAACATGGATTTGTTCCAATTTTTGGAGACAAACTCATGTCTTAAGACTTTATTTGCTCATGTACATTTGCAGAAGTGAGAAAAAGTAGAAAAATGAGCGATACCCAACCTTATCAATTTTGCACAAATTTATTTTCTCACCATAGTAAAAGTAAGCCACACACGCAATCACAGACGCTGGTGTGCATATATATATATATAATATAATATAACTCTAATATTCTCTTAATAATAATTTTCACTTTATTTGTTTTCTTAATTTCCTCTAACATTATATTTATGCTATGTGCGGCACTGCTGTCCATGGTACCTAGCATATATTCATTCTCTTCTCTATGAGTAGTTGATCCATAAGAACTAATGCTATGTTCCAGTTGTAATGAAAAATAAATATATAAATAATATATTATAATATATTGATCTACAAAAATATTGCTAGAGTGGTTATCTATAACTACTGGCCTAAACATCATAACTACTGACCTGAACGTTCTCTTCTTAAATATTTTCAATTTACACGTCAAGGAGTTCAAAGAGCTTCAACATTGTCTTTTAATATTTAAATGCATCAATTGATTCTAAGAATACTGTGTTTGATGGTCGGTTAAAGAAGAAATTAATTATTGATCTCTCTGTATGATTAGTCCGCCAATATGAGATAAGAGTGCAAAATTTTTTCTGCCCCTCCAAATCCTACTTAGTTGTTTCTATTTCTGTTTTTGTAGAGGGATTCTTAATTCATTATAAGACAATGATTAGGGTTGAGCTTCCTAAAAACCTGCAATATTTATGAATTATTTTATTATGAATACTGTAGAGATTTCACAAGTAATTTTAGTTGCCCTAAGTTTTCATTATAAAGGTGCATGTCTAACAAAAAGAGCTATTGTTGACGTAACATGATGACATATTTTCAAAATTCATGTCTAACAAAACATAGTATAAAAATTATTAGCTTTCATAAATAAGGAATTCATACATTAGACATGGACTAGAAGGTTGAGAAATGTTGAGCATCTGTTCATGAGAAATGGAGGAGAAGGAATTCATAAATTAGAAGTGTTGTCAGCATCTGCTCATGTAGATGAAAAGCTAGTGAAGGCTGACCACTGCATCTATTTTAGTGTGGTGGAGAAGCCACAGAGAGATAAAGGTTGAGCTTTGTTGTTGTGATGTTTACATGTGGAGGAGAAATTGTACGCTAGAAAGAGAGGTCAGCACTATTGCTGCGACGTTTTTGTGTAGCGGAGAAACCATCCCATAGATGGAGATGAGAAGGTCAAACATGTTCTTCTGCTGCTCACTTTGCTATCGTTAAGCCATCTATTATGATTTTGCACCCCTTTTATTCTATGTATTAAGCCAGCCATTCAACTAAATGCGTGAGCCAAACCTAAAACCTTTGGTTGCCAGCTTGAAAACGAACTGTGAAGAAATACCGAGTGCTTTTGCGGTGTTTCCGCTGTAGAGTGGCGCGCAGCATGCATTATACCTTCTCCACATGCATGATAAGGCTGTGAAATGTGACTCTTCCACATCTCATCACTTTGCCTTTCAAGCAGCATTTTAACAACATTGGTTTGAATTCAAATAAGATAGATAAGATCTTTAGCAAAGTTTGAAAATTTTGCTTTTAACAATGCTGTTCTACACTTATGTTTCTATTTTTACCATATTTTTGAATTTGTTATATATTTTCATTTCAATAAATCATAGAATCATCAAATGTCATAAGTTTTATTTTAAAACTTTCATGATTTAATTAATTTAGAGGACTTAAAAAAATTATATTTGTTAGAAGTTATTAGTGTTTATTTCTTTTCTTTTCGGATATTTTCTAATTTATGTATTTCCTAGTTTATGACTTTCCTTTTATCTCTAGGTAGTTATTAGGAATTAATTTAATCCTAGAGATTTGAATGTTATGTCTTTCCTATTTTGTAACTCTTGTATCTTGTATTTATACCCCTTGTGATGACAATAAAATCATCATGCTAAATTTCAACATGTCATCAAAGACAAGGGATCTTATCCTAGCCACCAGGATTTTTCTCCAACCGCCAGAATTGTCACCAGCTGGCCTATAGCTACAGGTCCTTCCCTTCTCTAGTCGTCGGACACCATTTCCTGCTGCTGGAAATTTTTTCTGCAGGTCTTCCCAAGCCATGTTTCTTACCAAGAATCGCAAGATCTTTTGTACCTACTGGAATCCCTTTCTTGCAACCTGACCAGCATCTTGCCTGAGCAGACCTCTTTTTTTTGGGCTAGAATTTCTTCCATGAAGTCCTAATTCGTTGTATGCTTGCTAGGAATCCTCTCAATCCATGTATCAACATCCCAACCTCTCATTTGGCTCAATCAGAGTCATGGCTAGTTCCTCCACCACCGAGCTTCCTTCTGACACGGTCCTTGAATCTACTTTAGGATCGACACCTACCTCAATCCCTCTTCAGATCAGAGGACCTGAAAACCATATGAATTTCCTAATTATCACCAATAAACTTAACGACTCTAATTTCCTCCAATGGTTTCAAGCTGTGTCATTATTTGTCTAAGGTCGAGATAAGTTCAACCATCTCACAAGTATGATTCATGAACCTCTGAAAACTGACCCAATATATACAAGATTGGAAGTGGAGAAATCCATGGTCATTTCATGGTTGATTAATTCCATCATCCCATGGAGACCTCGATTGGCAGTTTGTACCAATTTCTTCCTTCTGTATGTGCTCTCTGGATTGCCGTTCTCGACACTTACTCTGACGTAAGTAATTATGGAGAACTCTATTAAGTTTGTAAGAAGATCCGCGATGCCAAACAATGATTGAAGACGGTGACCCAATACTATAATGACTTATTTGCATTATGGATGGAATGTGATTTCTACTAATACCACACTTAATACTCTTTCTAGATTTTTCTCTCTTCCAAATAATTTTAGAAAAGGATCGTGTGTTCTAATTCTTGGCAGGCCTGAACAAGATATCGATGAAGTTTGCGGCCATATACTTGGATGCGATCCCCTTCAACCAGGGCAGCATTCACCAAGATTCACCGCGAAGAAAGCTAAAGACTTGTCATTATCGACAACTGCACTTTGTCAGTCGAGCTTTTAGCCTTGGTTTTCAATAGTACTCCACACTCCGCCACTCCGTGGCGAGCCACTTACGCCATGTGATTTTTGTCACAAACCTGTGACAAGTGTTGGAAGTTCCACATTAAACCAACAAATAAGTCTTTGGCCAAATCTTTCGTTGCTAAAAGGTCTAGCTTCAAACTTAGAATACGCAACAGTTCAACCGACCTCTACTCGGACCATCCCCAAATGAGGAGACTCCATCGAGAGTTTAGATGGAACACTTGATTAAACTGCTTGGGTCAACTCAGCTCTCTTCAGGCCGATCAACCTCTTATGTCTGCTTAGGTAACATCTCTATGGTACTCGCTAGTTTTGTTTCTTTTAGCCCATAGATTATTGATTCAAGTGCCACAGATCACATGACCGGAGGTTCTCATTCGCCTCCGAGCTAGATATGATTAAAATTACTAATAGCTCGTGTAATTCCTTTGCGGGTAAAAGGTCAGTTATACCTACAACCTGGCTGACTTTGGAACCCATGTTACATTTTCCTTTACTTAAGTGCAACCTATTGTGGGTCAGTAAGTTAACTTATGATATGGATTGCGTTGCTATTGTCTCCCCTGATGTTTGTGTCTTTCAGGATCTTCGTTAGGGGAGGATGATTAAAACTACTAAGCGGATAACCTGACTTTATATTTTCCAAGAAAATGACAGAGGTAACAACAACACTATGCTGGTTGTCTCTCATCCATTACAGAAGCTGCTTTGGCTGACCCGTCCTGGAATGCTGCTGTCGTGGACTAGATGAATGCTTTTGGACGCAACTATACTTGGGATTTGGTCGATCTTTTCCGGGGGAAAAAAACAGTGAGGTGTCGGTGGATCTTCAGCATCGAGTTTAACTTCGATGGTTCTTTTGAATGCAACAAGGGATGGTTGGTCGCCAATGGATATTCTCAAATTTATGGAATGTACAATGAAGGGATATTTGCACCGATTGCCAAACTCAATACCATTTATGCCTTATTATTAGTAGCCGTGAATCTGGATTGACCCTTACTTCAGCTAGACGTCAAGTATGCTTTCCTTTATAGTGATCTTGTTGAGGAGGTTTATTTGTCTCTTCTCCCAGCATTTGACTCGATTTCTTCCCATGGACAAGTGTGTCAATTGAGAAAGTTCTTTTATGGGCTGAAGCAATCCCCGCGGGCCTGTTTTGGCAAGTTTTCGTTGGTGGTAGTGGGCCATAGGTTCTCTCAGGTCTAATCTGATTATACCCTATTTTTTCGGTATTTATCCAGTGGTTGTATTGCCATCCTCATCATCTATGTATCTATGTCGAAGACATTACGATCACAGGTAATGACCTGCCAACCCACTAAAATGCATCCTCGCCACATCTTTTGAATTGAAAGACTTGGGGTCTTTCCGGTATTTCTTAGAAATGGAAGTAGCTTGGTACGCTTGGGCCATTTTGCCTGTCCCAATGCAAATATGTGTTGGATCTATTGACCGAGACCAACCTTCTCCTTTTCAAATTGGTTGCTATCCCAATGGACCCAAATGAAAAATTATTGCATGTTCCCAATTCTGCTCAAGTGGAAAAATCCTACTACTAACACCTAAACTCATCTACCTCGCTTTTACTTGCTCAGACATTTTTCACGTTGTGGGTATTTTCGTCAGTTATGCATGACCACTACGAACATCATCTCAATGCAATTCATCGGATCCGCCACTATTTAATAGGAGCACAAGGCCCAGGTTGTTATTCACTCCTCACAACTCCCGCTCTGTTGTGGTTTATACAGATGCTGATTAGGCTGGATCTGTCCATGATAGACTATCTACCTCAGGTTATTGCTCCTTCGTATAAGGGAGTCTTATCACTTGGAAAAGTAAAAAAACAATCACTAGTTGCTTGTAGTAGTGCTGAAGTCGAGGTTCACTCTATGGCTTTGGGGTTGTGTGAAGCCATCTGGTTGCGCATTATTCTCACTGAGTTGCATATGCCAGTTACTGCTCCTTTGCAGCTATTTTGTGACAATAAAACCACCATTACCATTGCTTATATTCCGGTCCAACATGATCATACCATGCATGTGGAGAGTGAGTGTCACTTTATCATGGATAAACTTGATTAAGGGGAGATCTGTGTTTCGTTTGTTCTATCTGCTGGATAATTGGCTGATATGCTTACAAAGTATCTTTATCGCCCAAGTTGACATGATTGGCATATATACTTTAACTTGAGGGGGAGTGTTCAAAGTTATCAGTGTCTGTTTCTTTCCTTTCCAGATATTTTCTATTTTATGTATTTCCTTGTTTATGTATTTCCTAGTTGATGTATTTCCTTATTTATGTATTTCTTAGTTTATGGTTTTCCTTTAATCTCTAGGTAGTTATTAGGAATTAATTTAATCCTAAAAATTTGGATGTTATGTCTTTTCTATTTTATAACTCCTTTATCATGTATTTATACCCCTTTTGATATCAATAAAATCATCCTGCTAAATTCCAACAATATTCAACAAGTTAGTAGATGTTCTAATTATGAGTGTATAGCATGTTATTGTAATGACAATAAATTTTTATTGGTTAACCTATCAATTTTACTTACAAGTTCTATGTTTTGTTGCAGTGATGAATAATGTTAAATGCATTACTATATTATTTTTTAAATGTTTTTGGTCTGTTTAATTAAAGGTAATATTAAAAAAAGTTTAGGACTGGAAAAATTGATGTTAATTTGATTTTCTTTTTTCTTGTTTAAGTAATTTTTTGACCTATATAAAGTTTACAATTTAATTGATGGTAGATCTTAGTGTATGATTTCATGGATTAAGAGGTTTAAAAAAGAAAAGGAGTGGCAAAAGTGATTGAATTTAGGCTGGTTTCTCCAAAACTAAATAAAGTATATCTGGAGAGGGTGGAAGTAGCATAACCAACATGAAACACATGGAATGACCATTTTCAGATGGGACAATTTTGATACCGAGCCTAAATGGCTGTTTTTAATCGGTTTTGTAGACTTCTAAAACGTTGATCTTAGTGTTCCATCTCATTTTTCTTATTGTAGTTTTTCTCCTCTTTCTTCTCATTAGTTATCCCCTCTAAAATTCTGCAGTTTTTTTCCCCCCCTTAAGCTTTAGTTATGTTTATTTCTATACTCAGAATTAGTTTGAATTCCATTACTTAAATCTTTTGGTTATTTTTAGTGTGAATATGCCTTATTTTGGCAATCAATTTATTCTTTTTCTGAATCCTGTTATTTTTTATTTTACTGCTATTGTAGTTGAGTCAAGAAAAGTTTCAATGGGTTCGAGACAATTAGACTTCATAAAATCTTTCCAAATCAGCATTCAGTCTATTCTCACTGCAGTGTCCAAGGAGGTGATGATAGATTCATTTGCTTGGAAAGTCTTAACTTTGTTTTTGATTTCTCCCCTGCAAATTGAAAATTTTCATCTTGCATAGAGTTAGTTTATTTTTTGGGGTATTTACATACGTAGGACCCAAATCTTATGCATTCACTTATCTGACACCCTAACCTTTATTTTTACACCCAAAGCACTCTTCCTTATGTATGAAAGTGTGGAAGTAGTGTAATCCAACTTTTGATATATAGGGAAGGATGCTTAGGTTGTAAAAATCAAAGTTTGGGCGTGAGATAAGTAAATGCATAAGAATTGGGTGCTGCATATTTAAATTTTCTTTATTTTTTTATAATTGGCACAATTTGCTTGAAATGCACCCTTGCTTTACCTATGAAAAATATTTCAATCTACAATATGTTTTTTGTGGGAAAAACAAATTAGCATTTTCTACCGTGCAACTCCACCCCACAATATCTGCATAGCCTTTAAGAATGCACTTACGGAGCTGTTTTTAAAACACTTTGAGATAATGAAGTCAATAAAATTACCAAAGCAAAGCCCCAAACAGAAAATATCATTTGATATCAGCAAATCAGACATTCTATTTCTTGGCTGTTGTCATGAGAAAAATTTTCAATAATCCTTAAGATCTTTTCTGGATTGTTTTCTACTCATCCCTATAAAATTGGAAAATGTTGAAATTCTGAACATTCTAAATATCTTCCACATCTAGTTTACTCCACTGCCAAATTCAGAGAGAACTTAAACACCCATGGTTACAACTGTTGTTTTAATTTTCATGTTTGTTTTTACTTATGGTATTATTTATTTTTGAATCCTTCAACTATCTACTTGCAACATTTGAATTATCTGTTGTCAGGCTGCAAAATAATGATAAGAATGATATTAATAGTATTTCTGATTTTCAACAGGATATGTATGCGGAATTTTCAATGTTTTCTAAGGCTGAGAAGGAGAGTTTGTATCACTTGCTCGTTCAGGTGAATAATTTTTTTCGTGCATGTAATTTGTGTTGCACGATTGGGCAGTCATAATCGATTTTGACATAAAATCATTGGAAGATTTACATATACCACTTAATTCTTATGCATTGTGTAACACGTAAACTTCAATTTCTACATGCATACCACCTTACCTATGCTTGAAAAGATGTATTTCTCTTTTTAAAGGTTAAAATAGTGGTATTTTTTGATGTGATCTAAAAGATTTGGGTGGTATAAATGTAACAAAATTAAAGCTTAGGTTTTAGATATATAAACACATTGGAATTCAGTGGTATGTATGTAGAGTTCAGAACCCTTATGAATTCACCTTTAGTTCGTAAGAATACTATGCAAGCCTGTTCTTCAACCAATAACTACAAAACCTCAGCATAGTCTTTTGCAGTGAAAACCTTCTTATATTCTATTAGTCAGTATTGGACAGGCTTGATTCTATTTTAGGTATGTCAACACACATTATGTGCTTACTTATGCTGATTCATATTGTTGTTTCCCTGAAAATCTTATGAGTTTCTAATCGCATATTTTCTTGTTAATTTATCTTAATTTTCAGGTTTCCAAAGCTTTGCATCAAAATATAGCGGTATGAAGCATCAGCTTTATATTCTTATAAATCATCTTCTTCAATTTTGTCTCTGTTTAAAAGGATACCTATCAATATTTTTTTATTTTATTTTTTTGTTGTAAACATTATGGTTTAGAATGTTGGGGTGGAAAAAGTGTATCGATCAATTCACAACTAAATCACTGCAGAAAAACACACTAATTTGAGAGTTTCAGAATAAAAACTGAACAGAAGCTCACAACACAAGAATTCTAGAAAAACACACAAGATTTAATATGAAAAAATATGGGAACAAGAAAAAATCATGGAGCCATACCACTAAAAATTTAACTATGAAATGAGGAGAAATATATATAGTAAATCACACTAAGAGTTCCTCTCTACAATCCTAGAACTCTTGAACATTCCTCCTCTCGCCATCACACAAGAGCAAACCGTAGAAATCCAATACAGAAGTCGCTGCTCTGTTTCGTTCTGTCTTGCTCTTGTTACACACACTACCGAGAGATTCCTTCCTCATATAGAAGTCAAGGACTTAAATCATGATCGAAAGAGAAATCACTTCAAGCACTGGAGCACCACTCTTGGGAGCTGCCTTTCCATGCGCTTTGTTGAGAGTCGTTCTTCTGTGCGCTAAATCGCCCGTTATGAGCATCGAGGTTTTGGTGCCTTTGTTTCCGAACAGGAAACGGATATACCACGACGCAACTGCACCCCTTTTTGGCGTAGGACTTCCAATAATGCTAGGTTCTTGGATAAATCTTCTGTGCTGGACTAATTCCAAGTTAGCTGTATAAATCTTCTCAGTATCTGCTGCGTAGGAATTGAGTGGTATGAATGTAAATATTCTTTAAATTGAAACTGCAAACACTAAGAATTTAAATGACATTATTTGCAAGCTTAAAGTAAAACTGTAAACACTCTTTGACATCCTAATAAGCGATAAAATAAATACAATCTAAATATCCAACAACAAATGCAGATAATAATAGAAAGAAAGCAAGGCGAATAAAAAGTAAAGCAAAAGCAACGCTTTTTCGAACTCGAGGCCAAAGTTGAAGGGAAAACGATAGGAAAGAGACGAGAATTCACAGAGATTAGGGCAAAAAAAGAAAAATATTTCACTAACACAAAACAATACAACCCGAATATATAAATGATAAACACTTACATTTGAGAGGTATGCGATTTCTCGTAAACCCTAACCCTAACACCTACAATTCGAGAGGTAGACGATTTCTTCCAAACCTTAACCCTAAGATTCAAGACAACAATCACATATAACATAATATATCCCAACTCATTAAACCATGTTTATACCCCACAAAAATAATTAACAAAAAAATAAATTGCCCTTTTAGCCTTGTCTAAAATAAGTCTTTAAATTAGTTGGCAGGCTAGGCGCCGATCTACCATTTTTCTCCTCCCAATAAGCACATTGTCCTCAAGGTGAAAAGAGACAACTACTGTCAGATCAAGTCGTATGGCTCCCTCGTAACATCATTATCTGAGAATGTTTTCCTTTTAGCCAAAAATTTGTAGTGACCCTCATGAGTTCAGAATGCAATCTTGTGCACCTCCTTCGACGTCCTCTGAATATGTTGATATCTTGATTCAAATCAATCTTGGATAATACCGCCAAACAATTCGTCCCGTAACTCATTAATCACCGAGATGAGAAATTTGGTAGGTACTATTTCTTTATTCACTGTCCGATAATCTATGCAAAAATACCAACTATCATCCTTCTTCACTAGCAAAACTAAGTTAGAAAAGGGGCTCACAATAGGTTGTATGATCCCAACCACCAACATCTCTCAGATCAATATCTTGATCTCGTCCTTTTGTACCGGGGTAGCTATATAGGCACACATTAATGGAAGAAACCTTTGATCTCAGTGTTATTGCATACTCGTGTTCCCTCTGAGACAGTAATTCACGTGGCAATTGAAAAATTTCTGCAAATTGTTGTATGAGATGTTGGATCGGTGTCAAAATCTCTGCCAACTCCATATCATATGTCCCTTCCATGCAATAAGCCCAATCATAGGCATTATATATTTCAAAGATCGACATCTTCAGCTTCATTATGCGTGAGTTTTTTCCCTAAGTTTCTCGACCGATGTTCATTCCACCTATAAAGAGGGGATTGGGTTCCCTTCTCGATCCATATTCATTTTCCTTGTTTCATAGTTTGGTTCACCCCATAATAAGTCCGCTCATACCCATAGGCTTCTGAATTACCTTTCGCTCGAAGGTTACCGCAACAAAAGGCACTGATGTGATTGGTTGCAACCCTCAAATGGGGTCCCACCCAACGTGGTTCCCTGTTCATGGCTGAAATCTATTGAATTGATCTTCTTCTGCCCGGAATCACGCGCTACCATGTTCTATTTGTTTCCATTTATTCCAAACCTCTAGATTTCGTGCAATTCTCTTCAGATGCTGCTTCTAGAATATGCTCTCCATTCGTTCTCTTAATCCCACTTACTTCTGTTTGTTAAAGCTGTCCGGATGTCGAGTTATGACTTTGTAGTGCTGCCGCTCGAGTCTGCTCTTGATTCCTTTACTCGATCCCGCGGCTCTATATTCGCCTAAGGAAATGAGGCTGCCCTAATGCTGCATAAATCCTTCAGATTGTTGTCGTTCGGATGTCGCGCTATGCCTTACAAGTGATGCTGCTTGAGTGTGCTCCTGATTCCTTCGCTCAATCCCGCAGATCCAGATCCTTCTAAAGAAATGACTCTACCCTGCTGCCACACATCTTCAGTTTGCTGCCGCTCGTATCCCCTCTAGATGTCGTTGCTTGATCTGGTGGTGGCTGGCGACAAATTTGTATGAAACTCCATGATCTTTTTCAACATCTCTTTTAGAATCATGAGTCTCCTCTCCTTGGCCTTGAAACACTCTTCCATTCCAATTCCAGGTTTGTCTTGACTCAACTCTGATGCTGAAGTTAACCCAAACAAAATTTGGACAACAAACATTATTGCGGAATTCAATTATATGATTAAAACTCAACACACTTGAAAAGAGAAACACAACAATGAGTACAAAAAGTACAACTAAATGTATTTAAAACGGTGGTGTTACAATTTAGGGACACGATGGAAGGAGGACTGGCGGGTGGTCGTGGGATGGCTGCAACTTGAAGTGGCTGCAATTGGAAGGAAAGGGGGGACAACAGGAACGACTGATCAAAACCTCAAATGTGGGCTATGTGGTGGTTGACAACGATAAGGAGAAGCGTTGGGGTTGCAGAAAACAAACAAAGACACTATCCTTGGGCGAGCTGCACCCGAAACGGATGATGACAACGAAAGGGAGGTTGTGGAGGATGGAAAAGTCGAGGATAAACACCACCTCGTAGCGAGATACAACCGGAGTACCACTCATCCACATATACAACATTAGAAGGGAAAATGGGACATCAGAGGTTGTCATGATAGAAATCTCAAAGAAAAACTAACCCTAAAATAGAAAATAACTAATATATATAGTATATAACTAGAAGGGGGAGGCCCCTTTCTTTGGGCGGATACCCCTTGCTCCCCTCTTGGCTGAACCAATTCAGATGAACCAGCTGGTTCAACCCCCCTAGGGAGCCCCGCATCAGTTTTCTAGTGTTGGGTAGTTTCAACCTCATTTGTCGAAGCTTCTATTTGTTCGGGCGGATACCCCTTGCTCCCCTCTTGGCTGAACCAGTTCAGATGAACCAGCTGGCTCAACCCCCCTAGGGAGCCCTGCATCAGTCTTCTAGTGTTGGGTAGTTTCAACCTCATTTGTTGAAGCTTCTATTTGTTTGATGCCGGTGATGGAGCTGTTATAACCTTCCGGGCTTGAAGGCTCGTCGACTGCAGTCCGAGAAACACTTGAATCCAACTGGCGACTCCACCGCCCCCAATGTATTTGGGGATCTTTCTCTACTTACGAGCAAACATCCTTAGCAGGCTAATCTTCTGGGAGCTTCCTACTGATCTGACTTGGACATGCGTGTCACTCATATACTGCTGAATCCTCCTAAAATAGCTAAGGTTGGCTCTACTTGATCTGAAGTGCGGGCAGCCATAACCTCCCTGAATGGTGGTGGCCATGCTGGTAAGATATTGATTGCGATGCCCTTAAATGCTCTCGTTGTCACTGTTCCATTTCTGGATTCGGTGTAAGTCCTATCACCCCACAAGTTACTTCATTGGGATGATGCATATGTGAAAATAAATGCAAGCTTATCCCTCCATGCTCTTATTGAGGATTGGATGCTTGAAGGCAAGGGGTTTATTATTGAAGATGACAATTCAAATTTTATAAACCTTTTTAGATGTGTGATGAGCGAGAAGATGCAACAATTTCAATTTCTCGACAATCCAAACATTGGTTTCTTGCTTCGATTTAAGCAAGTTTTGTTTGGACATACAGATAGAACGAGCAACATTCCAGCTCATACTTGTGCAAAGATGACCTTAAACAGGGATTTTCATTTACATCATGTAAATGCCCATGATCCTCTTTTTTTGGTTTTAAAGGAGGATAGGGCAAACATTGCAAACTCCCAAGGGGAATAGTCTAACCTTTTGTAACCATTTTTTTAGATATCAATGTAAAATATACACCCTTCACGAAAACTCCACCAAGCACCTTTAGTTAATGCTTAGCTTGTTGTCCTTTTTCAACCACATCAGAGAGTAAGACCGAGAATGCCTCTGAGTCATGAATCCCAATTTATCCACTATCTGCGTAGACGCCACATTCTTGCTACTCCCTTCATCGACGATGAAACTGCATTAATTTCTGTTCACAATGCAACAAATTTAGAATATGTTGTGGCGAAGCCACTACGGATCAGTCGTATCCTCAGTCTGTAGGACCCGTTGGGCGAAGCCACTACGGATCAGTCGTATCCTCAGTCTAAAACCATGAGCATCTCACCCTCATCCGATGGAAGATGATACACCTCACTCCTTTTTTCAGCCGCCTCCTTGTCATGAACTTCCTTAATGGCGTCTTGCTCGGTAAAAACC